TACTTCTTCTGAGGTATGCCAAACCCAATGCAAAAGCCAGCTGTTTTGGGCCTACCAGACCTATCCCCACAGAATTAAACACTTTACTACTGTTTAATTCTGTGTAGTTGGGGAAGGTTAGGGTTAAGTAGGTGTGCGTAAGTGTATGTGCATTTCATACCCTTGAAGTTGCTTAATGATATTGGATTTGAAATGTTTATTTTGATAGCCTTTTGTAAACATAAGGAATTTTTTTGTTAACAATGAATCTTTCCGCCGGGGTGTTTTGGAGCATGCGGGCGGTGGACTAAAATCTAAAACTTTCATTCTCATGGCCTAAATGCAAGCAAGTCAGCAAGTCCACATGCTTGTCAAACACCACACAACAAGCCACACGTCCAAGATCATACAGAAAACAGTGCATGCGGCAGAAGCGAGTGTGGTGCTTGAGTAAAGCACGGGACTTACCGCGCCGTCCTCGGGGCAAGCGACCGAGCTGCTGCCGCTGTGTGACCCACGACCAGCCCGGCTTGACCCCGCTCCATGAATACTCACATTCTCGGAGAAGATGTGCCGACTTTGGCTGGCATTGTTCCGCATCAAAATGAAGATTTCTGTCAAACTCCTTGTCGCCATGTTGACGGGAGTTCTTATCCCTCAATCTGGACAGGGTGACCTAACGATCTACGATGGAGATACTGGTTTTTAGAGTAAAATTTCAAAGAACGCCTAGTAGTATTAGGATGAGGTTTGCCGTCTGTGCAGATAGCAAAATGTACGATCGGTGAAATAGGCAGAAGTCTCTTCCACCAATCACGCTACATAATCATTACCGAAGTCGAGGAACCAACTTGCTCAAATCCAGCATCACATTTTCCAGCAATAAACTTCAACCCAGTCCTTCGTTATCTGGCAATGATAGCTAAAAGAGAGTCTTCAAAACTGTTGATTATTACCTGCAATAATTTGGTCACTTTTATTTAATGTCTATTTGTGTCAGCAGTAGAACGCCTGTGAGAAACCTATTCGACATTGTCAAACACCTGAAATAAAAGAAATTGCCTTTAAGAAAGATTCTGCTGCAGTGGCTTAAATCTGTGTTGGAAATGGGGTGGGGTTGGGAAAGGTGGCAGATGACTTATCTGGCTATGGAAATTTGAAAGGCGGGGGGACCTATATACATAATATTCGGGGTAATGTTCGTGATAAAGATGTACATCTGTAATGTGTATCCAATTCATGCAGAATCGTACATCAGAATGGCATATTTATGTTTTTTTTAAAAGTGCTTTCCCTTTTTAGTGATATCGCAAACATTTTTGTCGTTGGGAAATCCTGAAAATTCGTAACAATCCTCTTTAATTTCTTTGCTCATCCCAAAAATATCGGTAGGGGATAATTAAATATCCCACCCCCTAAAGAAAAGTGTGGGGACCCCCCCTCGATATTTATTCTCCTTGTTTTGTGACGTGAAATTAAAGCTTGAATAGCATAAATGAGTTCTTTTCTGACCTGGCCCACTTTCACGGAGTTGCTCAACAACTTTATTGAAGTTACTTTCTAGATTGATGGATATCGAATTGAATGGAGATTAAGAAGATGAAAGAAAGGATATCAAATGATACAATTCGAATTCACCTCGAAGGCTTTGAAATTCTCTCCTGTCATTATTGTCTGGGAACCCTTCCAGGTCTTACGAGGTGCAATCCCTCTCTACAATTTCCAATAAAAACAATTTTAAATTTTCCAGTTTGAAGGCTGTGTACTCCTTTCTTGTTTGTCAGAAAATTGTCGTGGCAACCGGAGCCGGCACCGTCCGTAGGCGATTTCCTCTTCTTTGAATCGCTGCACAGAATATTGACGAGTTACAAGAACCAAATTAAGATCGTGATATTAAATGTCAATTCAAGCGTTAGATAATGTAATCACTCTGTTGTCAATTTATGCTCGTACTTTTTCTCACTGTCCTACTACACAACATGACTAATCCTTCGGCGTTGACGTCATTATTGTATAGGAGCCGTTAATGCTTCTTTCTGACTGCATGGTTCCATTTTGGTTTTGTTGGCGAAAGATACTGGAATAATTTCACCCAAGACTGCGCCAGCTGGATTAGTTTCTAGACTACATGAAACGTTGAAGGTCACGTGCGTGCAGTTAATGATGTACGCTACAGCTACAATAAAAGGTTTCAGCAAATCATCAGACCCAATTTTAATAATTGATTTCGCCACAGGCAACGGGAGACAATCAAGTGGCGTTTTTATTACGTTCACGCTGACTTGTTTCATTTCTCGTATGATTATCATGAGAGAGACACAAGTTACAATCAGTTTTACTGAAAACAACACTTGGAATCAAATGCTGATCACTGGAAATTTCAATGTTGTTTATTTTAAAAGTTACACTAATGGAAACATCGATTACCCTTGTGTTCATACTCCTCGGTGTTGGAACAGACGCATTCTGTCCTGAGTGGATGTGGTCAAATGGTGTCGGCTATTGTCAGACAAATCAAGAAATGTCATGGACAAACGCGAAACAAAATTGTTCTGACATGGGCGCTATTTTATGGGCCCCTTCTGAGAACGATTCTGATTTCGTGGCACACACATTCTATACAGCCCAGGATTACATCTTCTGGGTTGATTGCTCCCGGTCATCTGAAAACCCAGACTGGTTTCAGTCTGAAGGTAGTCCATGTCAGATCAGTAAATGGTGTCCTGGCTGTCCCAGAAGTTTTCTTTGCGTACACTGGAGTCTATACGACGGCACCTGGATTGATGCAGCTTGTGACACTCCCTTGTATGCTGTTTGCAAGCTCTTCTCCAATGACTTCGCATACACCACAGAGTCCATAGTTACACCTGTTGATACTGAGTCTGCTGCTATCTCCATTGGTACCGGTAACCAACCTATTACCAGCCCAGTCGATCACAAGAGTACTAACTCAGTCGATACCCAGTCTACTGCTAACCCAGTCGATACCCAGTCTACTGCCAACCCAGTCAATACCCAGTCTACCGTCAACCCAGTCGATACCCAGTCTACTGCCAACCCAGTCGATACCCAGTCTACTGCCAACCCAGTCAATACCCAGTCTACCGTCAACCCAGTCGATACCCAGTCTACCGCCAACCCAGTCGATACCCAGTCTACTGCCAACCCAGTCGATACCCAGTCTACCGTCAACCCAGTCAATACCCAGTCTACTGCCAACCCAGTCGATACCCGATCTACTGCCAACCCAGTCAAATCTCCTGTTGTCTCAGTTGGCGTCAATACATTTACTCCCCCGTCAGTGTTCTGCCTGAAGATCCATGCAGATGGTCGCCTCGCCTAACTGGTCACGTCTTCAAGGAGGTCTCTACCACCAAGGGTGTCATTGCTTGTGGTTCAGCATGCCAGGATAAGCCTCGATGTCGCACTTCAATCTTTGTCAAATCAAGCCGCCGGAGAGACGATAGATGACACTAGTCAACAACTAGCCGAGGATATAGGACAAAGCGCGGCACAAATCTTGCGCTAATTTCTACATATAACATGACACCGTGTGGCCCGTTCAAGAAGTTAGAAAAAATGAACTAAAAAGCCTTTGCGGATTCAAATTTGAGTATTTTTCAACCCAGAAGAAATCTAGTCCCGTTAAACCAAAGAAATCAGGGTTACGTTTATAGACATCCAGTTTTGAATTAACTTCAGTGTGGAAAAGGTAAGATCAGTTTTGTATTCTTTACTTTTTAGAATATTGTTGCTTCAGAACAAAATCGATTCGTCCCAAAATTATCTTATGTTCCTGGTCAAAGTAAATGACAGTAATTCAGATGTATTTTTCAACAACTTGGAACTATATTCACATTAAGTTGATCTAATCAGATTTACGATCAGCATCAAAATTGGTCAAAGGGTTTTGAAGTACATACGACACGATAAAAGTATTGCAGTTTGTATGTAGCTGGTTGATTTAATTGAAGATATAGTAGAACTGTTTATCTAAATGCATAGTAATTAGTCCAATTTAGTTACAAATTGCTTTGGGGATTTACGGAGACTTTACAAAGTGGATAAATGAATAGATCAAAGGTTTTACCAAACTATCGACAGACAGAGGTTAAATCCGTTCTTTTCAAATGTTAAAATTCTAAAAGCAGATAGAGATAATTTGATAAAGTGTTTCAAAATAACTCCCCCGTTGTCACTTGAATTACTGCAGTGACGATTTTCCAACTTTGATGTCAAATAATTATTTCAGTTGAATGCAGTTTATATTAGTTTTTAACTGTTTACTGTGAAATTTGCGGTTTTATATAGAAGTGTAGTTCAAATTGGTCCAATTTAGTAGGCCTATCTTCTTAGATACTCGTATGCCTGAAATTACAGTTTATATTGTACTAGAACTGTAACCGTGTAAACAAAAAGGATTGATGTCAAATATGACGGTAAAAATTGCTCGTACTCATATCTGAGTATTCTTAAGATATTGACAAAATGAATGGACTTATTATATCTGTGCCCCTCTGAAATCAAAAGCTAAATACGCTGCTGATAATGCGTTGCAGTTCATTTAAGGAAGGATAGCACAGCTTTGATTTACTTTTCCTCTTGTGATATAAGAAATCAGTGCATTTTAAATCCGCGGAAAATGAATAAAACTCATATCTTTTAACAGTCAACAAATGCAAAATAATTTTTAGAAAAGGACAGCGATCCTCTGACATTTTAAAAAAATGAAATGCTCCAATATTTGTTTGAAGTTCTCGATTTCCCTGTTAGGCATTATAGTTATGACGACTTTTCAGTTCAGATGCTGTTAAATGATTATAATTGTTTTTTAAAAGCCGTTCCACGCCTTAAGAAATCATACATTACATGCTTGTCTATCCTATTATTCACTTGAGCAATAAAATGGGGGCATTTTTAATAAGATGCCACATAAACCTATAAAGGGTATTCTTAGATCATCACGTGATTTATCCTTTTTAAGAGCTCTCAAGAGGATACTCTGTTGTTAGTAAAAATTTATTTGTAATATAGCGTCACTTGTTTCAAAACGTAAGACCAGATTCGTCGTCAGATTGAGATGATATAAACTTGTGCGCCAGTTGGTGCGTGCAGACGTGCAAGTGTGTTGTGTTTTGTGAAAAACAAAGTGAAAAAAAATTATCTGTTAGTGTTTAGAAACAGAAGATGACTATTTATCTTGTTGAAGGGGAGTTTTATTTCAACATAAAGTGGAAATTCAGTCGTGGACTCTTATTGCATTATTTGTTTATTAGAATACTCCAGATTGGACTGAATTTCGACGAGCAGCATTAGACAAAACGATTCGATATGTCATTGTGAAATGATTTATCTCTCACGATGCCCTTTTAGAATCTAGGCCTATAGACGAGAAATATTTGGAAGCAATAGTTTTGAAGGAAACATGGACATTACTGGAATTGAAGTTTAGCAGAAGCATTCTGGGTATAGATATTCTATTTCTGTGTGAAAACAGCAGCCGTTACTCTCTCTTTTTAGATTTGAAATCACTAATAATAATTATGATAATTATAATTTGTTCTTATATAGCGCATATTACGAAATGTCTCGTTTCGCTGATGGATGAGAGCATACATGTATATGTCTAGTTTTTTTTTAACTGTTCAACTGTAGGACTGTTTGAAAGACTTTTCTTTTTATATAAGCAGCTGTCGTAGGTATATTAACAATTTGTTTGCGGGGACCACTACAAACGACTGGTAATAGTGTTACCGTGGTAACGGGATTTGTTTATTACAGTAAGGAGACGCCAATGTGCCAACTGCCCCCCCCCACCAAAAAATGCTCTAATCAACCAATTATTTACGTGTAGAAAATCATTTTTCCCCTGATGCATGTCGTGTCCCTTGGGTGTGGAACCCCCCACACACACACACACACATCACTGATAAACATAGTGATTAAGTCACAATGGTGACTTCATCGCCCATGATTGGCTGCTCGATTCTACAGTTCTAGTTGCTATGGCGTAGTAGATAGAATTGTACAATTGAGGATCCTTGAACGATTTTGCAAGCCATTTCTGACGCAGTTCCTCTTGTGCATGTTAGTCCTCGAGATTAGTTTCATCCAGTTTTAATATTTGTTTCGGTCTTTTTGGCACATCACTTACGGCAACTTGCACGTTTAATTAACTGTTTGAACTGTACAGTACCGTTACAACGAAAAGTTATGAAATGATTAAAAAAAAGACTGTCTGGTGAAAATTGTGATTAGAAACCTCCATGCCAACCGCGGTTGTTCGGGGAAACGGACATTTATTCCTGTGATCGATTTCCTACCAAGCGCTGACAAGTGAAACATAGTTTTCTCTGTTGGGTGATATGCACGGAGTTTTAATGTCGTTTGGTCGTCAGACGGTTCCTGGAAGTTAAAAGCATCTGTCAAAACAAAGTTTGAATATTTTCACTGGAATTAAATGGTTTGGGTCATACACAGATCTCAACCAGTTGTGTCGTAAGGCGGTTGTAAATCTTTTTCATTTTCCCTCAAAGCTTCGGGTATAACTGAGTTTTCATGGAAGCACTTAAGTACCCGGGGTGTATGGGGAAGTCACGAGTTCAGTCACGAGTTAGACATAAGTTGTTTGTGAAAAGTCCCCCACAGGGTCAAAGGTCAATGTTTTCAAGATGTATTTTTGCGTTGGGGAGATATTAATTATATATAA